TCTGTCGCTTTCTATTTGCAATGTAAAAAATAAAGCTCAAATGAACAATTATTTATGATACAGTATAATCCTAAATGTATTACTTCTTAAGGTTTATGACGTGAAAAATGTAGCTTTTTCACCTAACAAATGCTTAATATTTGTCAATTCAACGTCACATCTCTATTTTGAAATGGAAAATGCCATGTGACTACAAGAAAAGCTAATCGCCTTTAAATTGTAATACTAAAATGTGATTTAGTCAAAATTACTGGTATATGAAAACATTTTTAAAATTAAAAAACCTATTTTTTGTTGAAAAGGTTTCATATCAGAAATGCAGTGGTGTGAGTAAAACTGTTTAGTATGAAGTAAACTCACTTAAATGTCTCCATTTATATCTGATTATTTTTTTCTCCTTTTTCTTTTTAAACAAACTAACAAACGTGCATTCGATTCTAGGTTAAGAAACCGTTGGCACACTTTCATCTTCAACTTTCCTAATGAGCTCAGCTAATGAAAATCCCAAACACTACTGAATTTTCAGGGTTAGCTTCATCCTCTGTCCACACTTGAATACAACACATACGACTTTCTGCTTAGAAGATATGTCGTGAAAGATGTTATATATATATGCATTAACAGTTCAGCAATAAGCTATGAAACACTCGGATTTTATTTGCAACTACTCAGGTATATGAATTGCCTAAAGCCGAGGAAGTCACTGAACAATTCCCTGAGACTTAGTTATTTCGTGGCTAATCTTTTGTACAGTGTGGTTCTATACCGGTTTTTATTTGACATAGAATGCAGTAATGCAGTACTGTGTTGCTGAATAATTCACTTCTCAAATAAATGCGTTATTTTCGCCATTCACTAGATGACTGACACAGAAGACCCCGTTATTAAAATTCCAGAATTTGTCTCTCTTAAATAAACAGATATTGGCTTGATTTAATTTTATTTTACTATTATTATTGTTCCCTTGAGTTCCGAGTGGAACATAGGGCTTCGACAAAATTTATCCACTTTGTTCTGTTTTCTGCCATCCTCTTCAACTGGGTCCACGGTTGACCATAATCTCATCTCCTCCTTCTCCTGACACGGTTTCCTCCATTTCACCCTCGCACCGACGACCCACTCGTCGCTTCTCATTTGAATTCCACTCGAGCGATGGCCTGCATTGCTCGAGATGTCATTCGATGGTCTCCTCAATGTATGTCTGATCTATCCATCTCCATTTTCTCCTACATATTTCTTGAGCGATTGGCTCTTGGTTGGTTTGTTCCCACACTTCCTTTTTACTTATTCTTTCTGGTCATTTGATCTCAGTATGGAGCCAGCCAGAAAAGGGGCAGCTGTGGATAAAAGTCTGCAGTGACCTGTTTGAAATCCCTTTTACGACATGCTCGCTAAGTTCCTCACCCGTATGGAGGAACTGACTCACTTGACATTTGTGTTGAAAATCCGAATCTTGTTCTTCATGCAGGCTGAGTGAAGCAGAGGATTTCCAAACTGGTTTAAGGTTGGTGATGGCGTATACTGGTCTTCCGATTCTGGCGTGTTTTGACATCTTCATCCATGCTGTGTGCTTGTAGTTTAGATCGTGTTTTCTAGATAAGTGAAGTAGCTAACCTCTGTTAAATCTCTCCCGTTGATGGTGATTGGTGCTTTTTGTTGTTGTTTTTTCTGTTCGTTGGTTATCTTCATCAACTTCGTCTTTTCTATGTTCATCTTGAGTCTTGTCTTCTCTAGCTGCTTCTTCAGCTAGTTTGTTGGTCTAATATAAGGCATGTTTTATGATGGGTGACCGACAAACTACAGTTTAGTTCACCATGCATAAAACAGTTGCACTAAAACTAGTCACTGTTAAGTATGTTTCCCTTGAATTCTTTGTTGTGATTTAGAAAGCCTTTTGGATAGATGAACAAATCAACAGACACTAAAACCTTTTTATGCTCAAAAGATAAAGTAGCTGAGAAGCAGAATACTAGCATTTAATAAACATATTCTCATTTTGTGTAGTCAAGCACCCTGAGTTATTAAGAATTACCTACGCCTCACTGAAAAAACTTTAGGCTGCATTAAAATACAACTTTCTTAAGAATGTTATTTTTGGCACAGGGTAAGAGTCTATCACTTTTGTATTGGCTTAGAAAGGCAAAATTTTGTGATCTTATTATTCTTACTGTGGCTAGATAATTTAGGATGCTACACTTCTTAAAACTGGACATACTAGTTTCAGTGATACAGAAGGACTAAAAGATAAACAGTGTATGCATTTTTAGAAATGATAGCATACATCTCTTAACAAAAAGACCTTAAGCTACCTTCTTCTAATTTTAGGAAAGTTTCATTCTAGTGTTTCAGCTTCAAAGCGTCTGTCATGCAAATTCCTCTAGATGCCAACTTTGTCTCACTTCGTTGAAACTTGGTTTTAAGTCAAAAACACAACCATTTTAAAAGATTAAACTCAAACAAATCTTCAAATGAACATAAAAATAGGTACTGTCACTCAGAAAAATGGCACATAATGTTTCATTTATCGCAGTAGTTTTTTTAACCGCAATGTATTTAAAAATTTCAACACATTCTTTCTACTTGTATTGTGTACTACGTTTAACAAAGTTGAGTTTAAATTAAAAACGATATTGAGGAGATTTGATAAGTATTGGATAGGTCTCTTGAGTTCATTTTTGAAATAGTTTATGTTCCCCGGTGTCGTAGAACAGATTACTAAGACAAGTAATAAATAACGAAAAATCACAAAAGTAGATTGAATGCATGAAATGAATGCTGTTTTGAACTCCATAATTCTCAGCTTCATTATCTTAAACAATCTGTCAAGTGTACATTCAGCAACTGACTTGTATAAGATGCCGTCTCTGTATTAACAGATGTCAGATGAGTTGACCTTAAACAAACCGCTTCATCAACACTCACATAACACATTCTGCTACATTTTGTTTGCATAATATTGCTCATGTTTAAAGTTTTATAGAAATTAGACTCAGTTTTCCACGTGACTTCCATTATGTATTTCTAAGCTATCATCTAAATTGTTCTTAATGATGTTCATTTAAAGCCGATATTCTAACAAACGTGTAGAACATATTTGCAGACAAAATGGATTTTCTAGTTGACAGCTGCAAACAAAAAACTTGAAAAATAGTTATCTAACACGTTCAATATTTATTAGTTTGGCTTAATATAGAATGACCTGACTAACTACTCATCTAGATTCCAGCTCATTGTGATGCTGTGTTTGCTAAATTAAATTTCGCTTTAATAGGTATCCTGAAATTCACTTGATTTTATTGCAGGTAAAAACCAAATGAAATAAAAGGCAAAAGCAACAAGATTTAAAATCGAATCACAACCAGCACAGCTTCATGAAACGTTTCAGTAGAGCACACTGCTCAGAAATATCGTTGGACCACCCAAGTATAAGAAATATTGATGAATTTGAAGGCGGCAAAACAGATGACGAACACTGCTGTAATAATTTAGTATGGTCTTACAAAACTATTAAAATATGTTGTTTTCCTGTTCATGGTTACGTTGTATTGAAACAGTCTAAAGCTCTAGAGGGAGATTTTGATTAATGTGAACGCTCATGTCAAGTGTGAGGACAAAACTTTTCTGGTACAAAATAAGGGAGTAACAATGGCGATGTGAGCTTCTATAACCTAACTATCTTTACTACCACCTGTCACAAGATCTTAGATGAGCACTGCTTTACAGTACAGGACTTCAATAAATTTAACTGTCTGTCTGACCTGTGTTCACTAGCAATAAAATTAACCTTATATCCGTTTTAATCGGTACAAAGACAAAATCTGAAAATTAAACCCATAGGGTGATGAAATAACTTTTACTCAAACCTTGCAGGAATAACCAGTACAAAAACACTAACTATCAGACTGAATAATGAATTAATTATTTTGTGGCTGGGACTTATCCCCATTCCATAAATAGCTTTTCCACACAACGAAAGTTCTAGATGTCATATAATTTTTTAAAATTAGAAACCTTCAAGCATTCTATGTAGGATTATCGAATGTTTAATGGGAAGATTCTCTTGGTTGTCTAGTATTCCTATTTTCAACCATTTTTTACCTCTAGACATATGACACGTCCTAACAATTAATTAAGGTGACCTACCGAGTCTTCCACATGATACCGAAAGACATCGATGAAACAACTAAATATAGTTGAATATTTAGCAGTTTGTCACCTTAAACTTGATTCTCGCGTTTAAAAACATCCAGTAAAGTGATTAAGCTTTCTTTTCTGCATATACTCTTGTCACCACCTTCTCTCATCCATCCTGTTTTGTGCTTTGGGCAGTCGCTTTTATACTCACCATAAAATTCCCCTTTCGCTTACTGTAATAGCTCTCAAGATTCAATAGTGCTTAAATGAGCCATTAGATATTCGACAAGCAAAACGTACAAACAAATTTTACCCATAATGGAATTATATTCTACCACAGTGTACAAGTGTTGTTCTTATATCAATGATACTTCAGCTTTTTGTTGAACGAGCGAAAATGTAGTAAAGTGTTAAGCGAACTCATTTCGATCTATAAACGTCATGGTATTAAATAAACTCCTGTAACTGCCTGGAAGACAGACATGCTTATATCTACACTAGTTAATGATAAAAAATTAAAATAATATAAACCCTGAACATCAGTAGACAGTGAAAGAATTTCTACAACAGTGTTACAGTTTTTAATTCTTAAACTATATTCATGAAGAACCATTAGTAAGTAGACAGATTTGAAGCAAATTTATTTCCCGAGGTATCAACTTTTACCTCATTTCATTCACACAGCTACTACTTTAAGAAAATGGTTTCTGTGGCTGATTTTGCATGTTAATATTCTTTTTGTTAGTACAACTTTACCCAAACATTTAGCTTTTTAACCGCTTCATGATTGATTTCGGTCAGTTTCTGGATTATGTTACAACATGCTTACCAACCTCAGTTGAACAGAACTAAAATGACAGTTTATTAGTGAAATACAAATATTTTATTTACTAAAATTAAAATCAAAAAGTTCACACATGTTTGTGTTTATTAAACCAGATTCATTAAAATCCCGTAGCTCTAAGAATTTCAAAATAACGGAATAATTTTGCAGACAATATACCAATTTTTGTAAGAAAGACTCATCAGTAAGCTGCACATGAAAGTCACTTCCGTTACAAGTGTGATATTTATTCAGTTACAAAAGTTGTCTGAATAATATTCAGACAGGAGAGTAATTTTCGAAGTATAAAATATGCTTCATCTAAAATCTTTCAGTAAATTAAAGGTTTATATATATATATTGTGTATTCAAAAGAAAGAAACGAGTGGGTGGTAATTTTAAATTTTAGTTTAGCAACATCATGATGTATATATATATATAAGTTTGAAAGTTAAAATTCCTTTCGTAGTCGAAAGTAAAAAGATATCGGCAAAAGTAGAAAAAAACTAGAAAATATAAATTTTCTAAAATCTTTCCCTTTAGCGTAATACTAATATTTCACAGCAAAACATAATTAAAGGGAAAGTTGTATAAATATAAAACAAAAATTGATATTGTCAGTTGGTTTGATTTTTCAATAGCATAATTGAGTTAATAAGTGTTTAAAAAGGTTGTAAAAATTAGATATGATTAATGTTAGGAAAAGTAAGCAGCACAAAATGTACGAAATCTCCATTGACTGGATTTCGGGGGTGAATAAGTAGCTAAATATATTTAAAAAATACTACTTTACTAAAACAGAAAATAGCTACTGTAAAATATCGAGACGTATGTACACATTGTACAGTCAAATAAGCAAGTGATAATTTGATAGACAGCGTTGTATCTTACACTTCTGGATCTACAGCCTCTATTGAAAATGGATTAACACGGTAGCCCAGGCATTGATTGGAAAACCATTTCATAAAAGATAAACGTTTGGGTATCTTCTTGTCATCCAGCCAGATCGCTAAAGAAAGAGCTGAAAAGTTTATTGAAACATTTAATATAATTTGGAAAAGTAGATGGCATAAAAACAGTTCATTTATAGTCATCTTATCTACAGACTTAAAAATATTTTTATTTCATTCCGATGTATCCGGATAATTTAAATGTGACTGCATTAAATTTTGCAAAAATATTCATTCAGACATCTATAAAACACAAAATAATCGAGCAAAGAATATTCTTTTCGATAAATTCCTCTTCCAGGCTCTACAATTATATATATATGTTTATATACACAGAATATTTTAAATTAGTAGTTAATAACAATATTAGCGTTTTTTTAAATAATATCGATTTGTAAAGTATGATCAATGCTATTGTAGTTCATTAAAGATGCTTAAATTATAATAATAATAATAAAGATATAACAGCGAATAGAATATCAACTAGAATTAGGGAAATTTCACAAAAATTCTGGATTATTCAAACCTGGATGGATGACTGAACTAACTTCTTTTTGGTGCATAAATTAGGCTTATTAATATGAATCCCCACAGCTTCAGCAATATTTAGAAGTCGAACTCTTAAAGCGAAATTGAGATTCGTAGGTATGCGGTAAATGACCCTGAAAGCATGATTAACGTCAATCTTGTGTTCTGTCTCCACAAGATGCGCCAGAATAGCGCTGCGAATAGATTTTGTTTGACCTTTGCTTAACCAGGCAGGGTGGTGTTCGGAAATTCGACGAGAAACTCGCCTAATTTTACGGCCTATGTAACTGGCTCCACAGGAGCAGTTAAATTGGTATATACACATGGAAGAGGCGAAATTAGGCAGTTTGTCTTTTATTCGCGAACGCAGAAGAGGAGTGGTTTTGAAGATACAGCGTAATTGAGCAGCAGGGAATGCTCTTTTTACCGCATTTCTGAGGCGATGTGTTAGTATCTCACTTGTGTTGTCTCCTAGGAACTGCATCTGTAAGAACAAGGCTTTCTTTGGAACTGTTGGTAACTTGGACTGTTTTGGTTTTAGATTCATATTCTTATCAATAAACTTTTCGGGATAACCATTCTCACTTAGCAACCGTTTAATATTGTAAAGCTCCTCGTCAAGACATTCATCCGAGCAAATGTCTCTTGCTCTGTGGACCCAGCACTTTATTAGATTGTGTTTGTATTTCAAGGGCAAAAAGCTGAGAAAATGTGTATACTGGCCCGTTGATGTAGTTTTCTATAAACACTTCTTCTTATTGTACCATCCTCTTTTCTGGTCATAAGGACGTCTGGAAATGAAATACTAGAGTCTTTTTCTTTCTCAATAGTAAAATTTATTGCAGGATGTACCTCATTAAATTTATCCAGGATGTTCTTTGCTTCCTTCTCGTTCTTCATAATCAAAAAAGTATCACCCATGTATCGACAATAAAATTCGAGTTCATTAATAACCTCTTTCAAAGGCCCATTTTCTAGTTTCGCCAGGAAAATGTCGTCTAGAATGGGTCCTAGTGGCGACCCCATTGCATTAAATTTACAAGGTTCTTGCGTAACCGTTAAGGTTTAGAAAAATTTACCTAATAATACCATATTTTAAGTTAACTGATATCCGCATGGAAATATTTTTGAGAAATTTACACCACATATCATACCTTATGAAAATTTATTGCAAACACAGTACTTGCTGAGGGTATTAAAAGTTTTAATGTCTCCCACAAAGTCATTTCTCATTCAAAATGACCTCATCATTTACTAATGCATCTCTCATAGCAACCCTTTGCTAAATATGTGAATATGTTGATGCACATAGTTCAGACGTAGCGCTGCAAACGTTCTACCTTAAACAACTTTTATTCACATGCACACTTAATCGTTAACTAAGCTTTTTTAGTAAGATATACAGAAAGGAGGGCTGTATTGTGACTGGATCACTACTGGGTCCACTGCTAGCTGACCTTTTTATCAGGGCTTGAAAACACTCAGTCTAGTCAAACTATTGGTTGCTTTGATATCTAGAGGAGATATGTAAATGACACATCCGGTATTTTCAATAAGGATGTAGTACATTTTGATATTATGCTCCAATTCAAAAGCTGTCATTTATCTTTAGAATTGGGGGAATAATCAGAAATAGGTATCTTTTATCGATGTGTTTCATTAAAGCTTAATCCACGGAAAAAGTACATCGAATTAACAGCTTACTAATTTCTGTAGTTTAGTACCTATTTCAAACAGAGAAACTCTCGTTGATTCCCACTGTTTTGTGATAATAGATGTGTGTAGCTCTGAGTGAGCTGAAGCGGAAATTTCTTTCCTAAGTACCACACTTGCTGAAGATAGCTACCCAAACTGATTTACTGATAAGGATACAACAGACAAATATTTTAAACTGGTTACTAGCTGAGTTCCAGAAAACACTCGTCTTCATGAATCTTGAATTCAGAGGTGACCATGCTTCAAATACTCTCGAATATCGTCTTTTTAAACTAGTTTATAAAACGTTCTCTCTGGAAGAAATTCAGTTCACGTTCACCATATGGAATGTGTTTTCGGTTTATGTAAAAGATGAGTTTCTTAATCCAGTAGTATCCACGTGCGTCTATCAGCTCACCAACTCTTGTGGAGCGTGCTATATTAGGCTCAGCCACTTGGTGGCTTCTACATGAATGCAAGAGCATATCCCGCCATGGTATCATAAAGAAGAAGGGAATGGTGTGAAAAGCTCTATAATGTGTGTCACTCAGCCAAACCTGAAAATTATTTTAAAACCATCAGCTGAATTCATTCTAATTTGCCTCAGTTTTACCATCCTAAACTTTTCATGATATCTGAGGTATTGACCATTTGTGCATTTAAGACAGATGTTTATGTACAAAAGAAGTGTATGCAGTCCCTACTTTTACCTTGGCTAAGAATAGAAATGAGGAAAGAAGCATTTACTCACTTATTTTTATATGTTGTAGTTGTTATCACTATTCTTGCTTTGGACAGTCTCCAGTCACGTTGTTTTTTAATTCACATTTTTCACAATGTTAATATCTATCTCATGGAACTTTTCACCCTGTTACTCAGTTTTCCTGTTTGCCAGCTAGTCCTGTTAACTTCATAGCCTTTTCGAAGATCTATACATTCTGTAAATTGTATTCTAAGTCACATAACTTGTTACTAGCCTGAGACTGAAGTACGGTTATAACCACAGATATTTTACCGCAATTCACAATATCATTAATATATTTGTTCACAACTTTTGTTTAAATCTCCTCAAGCCATATAGTTCCTTAAAGATTACATATGCAGTCATACAGCTTGATAACATATTCGTTGAAAAATCCCTATGCTGAACATTTTGTTCGTAATATTGCAGTGAAAATTGCTGAATTATTGATTTTAAAGGTGATTGAAATAATACTTCCAAACTTCATTCCGATTTCCTCACAGAAATGTCTTTATTTCTTTATAAGCGTTGTTAGGTGATCAACTTCTTGGGGACATCACTGTAGTTAATCCTAGTTCCATCTTTACATATACAAGCGCGAATTATGGTTATAGTGTAAAATGTGACTTACTAAGTAAACACACACAACCAGATACGCTGAAGAAAACTTCAGGAGTTGACTTCCAGAACAATGTTACCAACAGAGAAAGTATCGATCCAAATGCCTTGTTTATACAAAAAGAATTTAAAAAATACTAATTAGTGCTTTTTCCGTGAGTTTCATCACATGTTTTAAGCAAAATTTCTGTATAAACACTATTTTAGGCACTAGTTTTAGTTAGCTGCTTGTTGTTTCTTAGTCTCCCATCATTTAATGAAGGTTTTTTAAAATTCTATTCTTATTTCAGAGCTGATTTTATAATATAATACTTTCGCATTACTATAAATCATAACGCAGATTGAGATTAATATTCTTCATAATCAGCGGGCTTTTAGGAGACAAAATTGTCTCTAAACTATTAGTATAGTTGCTTAAGATGCGTCACATTTCAGCATATATCATAAGACTTTTCAGATAACTAGGCAACTGTGTCAAACATGAAAATAGTTTTCGTTAATAAATCAAAGTCACATTTGGTGTCTAATACTGTCAGACAGAAGAAATTTAGTGCTAAAGGTAAATGAATTCCCCATATATACATATATATATATATCACCTAAAGACATCATCGGATAAATTCTTCAACATAATTATGAATTCCTGCATAGTTTAGTCCGTCATAAATTGATCCTATACTCTATTGTTAATAAAAAAGTGGAATATTTTTGAAGCTTTCCAACCGGTTAGACTATATTCTCATTCACACAGGAATTCAAATGAATCAAAACTTTCATATATGTAAATACACTGATTCCGAATGTCACGTAGAGTGTAAAAAAATTTTTCACCCTTTACCACTCATCAGTTAAAAAATAAATATTGTGATTATTAGATTATTCATATTATTTCTACTATCCTCTTTAATAGTTCACTTAGCTAAATAACTTGACATTAAATACAAGTGAATAAAATTTATCTCATGTTTAGTTTATTAGATGTAGAAATGATAAAGTACTGGAGTATGACTTACAAAACCAAGATAAACCATTCCATAGTTGACAGCTAAATGTGCTGGACCAAATATAGCTCCCGTTGCAGCGGGCATCATGGAAAACACACCGGACAAAAAGAAGAATAAGGAACATGCCCAAATGCTGAACATTACTTTTAGCAGGACTCCAGAGGTGTATGACATGAGTGGAAAAGTGAACAAGAACACTCCCCATATACACAGTTGAATGCAAATAGGTATCTAAAATGTAAAACAACAGAGTTGGGACAAATTTGACAGTAAAAACAATGCAGTAACAAGAATATTCTGGTACTGATAATTCGTACAGATATTCAATGGTGGTTACAAATTCATCTTTCTGTGTGAGCAAACAGCTTCATAATAATTTAGAGATATAAGATTAACTATCATACCTATAAGAGCATCAACAATTCCATTAAGAATTCTTAAGATAGTAAACAGTAAAGTGGAAACAGTAAAATGAGACTACAGTGATGACTCGTATTCACAAGATAAAAAGAATAAGCGTTTTTTATCTCTGGAAACTCTTTCATCTTAAGTCAATATCAAAAAATACTCTGCATAACACAAACTTCGAAACTTGAAGAGACCTATGAAAATCAACTTTTGAAGTTATTCAGCTACAAGTGATGTGATTCTGAACAATAAAGTATGTTCGAAACGTCATCCAGTAAATAACACTGTTTCACTATGTGACATTCCCAATAAATAAATTAGTGATTTCATCATGGCAACAAAAATGAAGGACGAAATACTTATCTTAAGTGGTGATATCCTGTTTATTTTTTTTTACTTCAGTCAACAACAACTTTTTAATCTATTAACCACCAAGCGATGACTTGTTTACTGCCTTAATGATTCGAGCTAACACTAATATATCCAGTATAAAATCACAAGTTGCGAGAAAATTTCAAGGTGGAAATCCTTCGTCCCTTAACATTCTATTGGTTACTGTGAAACAACACTAAACACTTCAACATTAGAAATACTGTTATGATTATTAAATATTCTCATAATTATAAATATAGATGTGGAATGACTGATACATAATTTGAGAATTTCTGAAGAATTTTATCAATAAACAGCCAGTTCTGAGTTTATATACTGAAGTTCATATAGTAACCAGCAGGAATTTTGCAGACAGAAATAGACACAGTTATCTCATTCATAAGTATAAATGACAATTTTGATAACACAAAATGACTGTTCACATTAGTTGTATAAAAAATTACCTTGAATGAAAAACGATCTACGATTGCACCCCAAGCAACACGACCACCACAATTGAAGAGGGAAGTGATTGCAGCAATAGTCGACAAAAATCTGTCATCCGTAATATGGGTTTGCCCAAATATCTATATTAACAAAAATGTGAAACAAATGACTTTTATTTAACTCAATTTTAGATTTTCCCGTCAATTGATTTGACCGAAGTGCTCGGACTCAGGTTGACATGTTGGCTTATTGTGCAGATGCTTCGACGATGTCTGGTCATGTAGCGATAAGTTAACTGGTGGATAGTGACTAGCAGTGGAGTCCAGGATGAGCACTGGGTCTGAACCTCGGCGGGAACACCCTCGCTCACTGCGGAGTGTAGGTACATCCAGTGACGAGTCCCAAATAGGACGAAATGCGCATCCTGGATTCGACTGCTAGTCACCATCCACCAATTAAATGACCTTTATGTTAAAATGTTTTAATAATTTTGAAAAAGTAATTTAAGTTGTTACACTTGGTTATAAGATTAATATAAACTACTGCATCAAATTAACAGTGTGACAGCTCTTTCAAGCGCTATTTAGGTGGGAAAAAAGCTTCTAAAAACTCACTTTGGAAGAATTTTATAAATTATTTGCACGAAGATACTCACTACACTTTAAAATGACGAAACCAATGATAATCGTGCGGCTGTTTACTGTTTAGATTACTTTGGAAAATGTCTGTCAAAAAAACAGCTAGTAACACTGTTTGCCGAGGATGCATTGTAAATACAAACACAGCATAACGATAAGCAAAATAAAATTCTCTGATTTTCCCTTATGAAAAAGCAGTGATAAGCGCGATTGTTTGAAGCATATCATCTAGATGACTTAATGTGTGGACAAATTCCCTTCAGTATAAATACAGTACTCACTATCAATGACTTTCTGATGTTACATATTTTGAGGTCTTTACTCAAAAACCCCTCCTTAATCTGAAGCTACTGATGCTCAAAAAAATGTTATATATATCTTAACTAAAAATGATACTTCATCGACTAAGCGTAAACAAAATTATGAGCAAGAAAAAGACTTATATACACAATAAAACAAAGAATTTATTTGTTGTCCTGATAACTGTTTACATTAGTTCATTTGGAGCTGTCGGACTGTCACTCGCGTTTATCCGATTTTAGAATTCTTCAAATGTTCAGCTCTTAAAGTGCCATGGAAAGCATCCTCAACTTCTGACCATGCACAACAACCCTGTGTAGATCTTTAAAGCACTTAAAAGAGCTATTGATAACAATTGGAGTGCATGCATTTTCTCTTGTAATAGTTATAGTAATTTAAATACCTGATAAATATATTAAGTTACATATTTTATCTTCAGTCTTCTGTTTCTCTTAGTCATCTGTGGTTCATATAAATGATGACATACTTTCATTTGAAAAGGTTTGCTTGAAAGTGTTTTGCAGACCAATTCACTCACCAGTTTATATGATAATTTTCAGTCCTTATACCTATTTTTTTAATTCACTTCTTTAATTTTATGAAGAATTGTCATGACCTTTATGTTAGCTTTTATTATTTTTTTCTTAGTCGTCAGCATTATACTAATATGTACTGGGTAAGTGTACATGCGCATGTAGACAATTTATGTGTATGAAATATTAACACAAGCTATAACCAATAGAAGGACTAATTTCAAACCACTTTATATGACCGCGTGGAAGTTTAGCAACACGAGGATACTATCTTCAATGAAAAACAGATTTTCAAACATTTTTATTTCCAATCAAAAATAATAATAGGTACATTTGTAAAACAAGAACACTACAGCTTAAATCCTTCAATACTTCGGATGATACCAATATACATTTTGTTTTGCTAAGTTATTAAAGGCGGTTACTAAACACAAATTTTCTAACAACGACTCACTTTCAAGGAGCTCGTAAGAACTGACGTTGGAAAACAATTCAAGAACATCATTGTAAATAAAAGATAATAGTCAATATGACAGAACATCTTTTTCGTTGATACGTCTACTTCTACAGGGCGAGCCTAAAAAGTAACATTACAAATCTGAAGTATAAAAACGTATTAAGAATAGATTTGTAGAGATGCTGATTTGAACTTAGTTTAAGTAGCAAATAATAAAAAGGTACAAACTGTATTACTGCAAAGAAATCGAGTAACTACACCTAAAATATAGAATTAAAGGTTAAGAGTATAACCTTAATACATTATTCAATAAAATAACTTATTTCCTCGCTACACATAAGTATAAGTGCGAGAAATATCTTTTAGTAAAAGACAAAATTTGAATGGTCTTTTGAAAATTTCACACAAGAAATGTTCGTTTCATCAACTCAATCAACATGACAAAATCAGAGTTATAAAATTCGAAGATATAACTGTGCCTACTTACACAGATCTTTTACAAACTTCCACGGTGCCAGAGGTCCATGTGTCTACCACAAAGTAGCTAAACTACTCATCAAACTATCCCATTCTCCGAGATTACAGAAGAAATAGGAAATCTACAATCATTTGATTATTACACCAACTCGTATAGACGGAAAACAACACTGATTGTAAACTTCAGTGGATAAGGAAGCCTAACTCCTGAATTATCAAATATTTGTACGGGCTTTTGATTTTCAGGGAACAGTTTAAAATTAAGAGACGATAAATCTAATTTTACTGCATTAAATAATTTTTGGCTGCTAGTTCTTTGTGCAAAAGTACACCCATGCTCATGATTTTCATCTTGTTCTTTCAGTCATTGTAGGCATATATACACTTGCGTCAGTGGCTTGGTGGTAGAACACTGGCCAACCAGGCAAGTGGTCATGGGTTCGATCACTGGTTGATGCATACCTTTACACAGCTTAGCCGGTAATAATCCCCAGTAAAGAGGGAATGTTGGGCATGAGGTTAGCAATCCCTCTCCGTAAAAAAACACTGCTGCTACTGAAACTTCGAAGCTCCAACCTGAAGCCATATGTTCCTCTGGGGACGAAAATGAATAAATACATATGTGTATGTACATATTCAGTTTAAGCAAAACATTTATAGCACACTAACAATTTTGATATAATATAATAAATTGTAAAAAAACCTATTTAATCTGCCTGAGGTCTGTAGATTTTACAACTTCATTTACCTGTTGACTATCAGGAACCAGCTTCTTTGTTTTAGGATCTGCAGATACATCCTGTTCTCCTTCATGTTCTTCTTCCTAAAAAAAGAATTTACAACAGAGATGAATATTATGAGGGTCAATAGGAAAGCAAACCTAAGTTTGGTTTTTTGAAAGTTCTATGCCGTGCAGACTTGTGAGTGCTTTTACTATAAATAAATTCCAGATAAAAAAGCGCTATACCAGTGTAAATAACTTTTCGGAAACATTCATTTGACTGAAACTCATCCTAATATCACACTAAGGTTTATTTATTTTGAGTAAACTATCATTGCATTCCTCCTCAGAAACAAAAGATCTCAAAGAAGATCACATGTTATGCATGCATGTTATGAGGACTAACCGCAAAGCACTTTTTCCCCTTAGAATTCTCATGACAACTTCTGTGTGCTTTTTTTAACAAAATTTCACACTGCATGTTCGAAGACAACTTGTCTTATCCAGAATTTTAAGCAACTCGTTTAGAAAGTAAAGATGCTATTTGTTCAGATCTATTTCACACGTTATTTACGACTTAAATACTAAAGCATGCAAAGACAATTTAAAAACAAGGTCCAGAGTAACGAAAGTTTTATTTGTCCTATACTCCTGTAGAAAAGTAAAAAAAGACATCTGAAGTATTTAAAATTTAATTTATCTTGATACCACAAAAGCTTACTTCCTTTGGCTTTGGCTTCATACGAATGAGGATACACCCTGATAACTGCAACGCTGCTAATATTGAACCCAACACCAAGAAGGCATATGGAATTCTGTCCAGAAGTTCGTCATCAGAAAAACGCCTGAGAAAAAGAAAATGACACCACCGAAAAGAAACTATGGTGAAAATTCATGAACATATAGATGATTACTGACATAACGGTGTCATTAACGGTATTAGGGGGATGTTCAGCACCTATAGTTTAGTCATTCTTCAACACACCCTCTTACACATGCTTGATGATACATTTCTTAAAAAGGGTGGAAGTAATGTTAAGAACACAGTTGTAACTATTTCATATCTGCCTCTTGCTCGACAAGAGACTCAAAATTTTGTTTTTACCACTTACGCAGACTTTAAACAGACTGCTTAAATTTCAGCGTTAATTTGGTGAAATGTATCATAACAATCCTTCTCTGCATAAAATTAAATATCTTTTCTGTTAAAAAATAAATATATCCACAAGGTAACTGACGCCTGAAATATCGCGCAACTGATAACAGAAGCCTTACCAAGATTCTGACTGCTTCGCAATTATGAATTTATAGGCTGACAGCGAAATACAGTTACACATGTTCAGCTTTGTGTATCACTAAGAAGCTCGGTCATTATTCAGATCATTGTGTATCTAGGTGACAGACGAATTATTTTCCTAATGTTGAGGGTTTCTGTAGACAAGCAGGCTAACTTGGATGTCAAAAAGTGGAAGAAGAATCTTCTGATAACATGCCAGTTCATTTCTCCTGGAAGACAACAGTAATAAATGACACTGAGGTTCATAAACCAAACAAAAATGTGTGACGAAATTCAATAGAAATCAAGGATAACGTGTCATTGTAATCTAATGAATATTATTTATTCGTGAAATCACTGTTACAAGATTGTTACGCAAGCATTACATAAAGATTCCGGGCAAGATTAAGTTTTATTGATTAAAATGAGTGAATAAAATAAGTAAAAATAGTAAATTTATTCAGAAAACGTCTATAACTGCCCAACCACTTTATTTAGTTTTGTTCCTCCTCGCCAGGCCCAAAATAGATGGCTTCAGATACTGACACTTTACGCGGATGAAACATTAAACTTAGTTTCTGTACCTTTGGTTTATGAGATGTTAAAAGTTTTAGATGCTTCGAGATATGAATGAAAGTCCTTCACAGTAATACATATACGGTTATAATTCCGAACTGAAATTCTGAGTCTATTCACCAATCTTAGTCCGACAAACTTTTCCTCACTTACACTCATTTTCATCCATTGCAATAGCATTTAATTTTTGTTTGCTGGCTAAAATTTGGTAACGGAGACTTTTGTAATACTGTGGAAGATCTAAGCTTCATTCATAATTTGGTTTTTTTAGCAAAAGCTCCCTCAGATGCGCTAGTAAAACCTGAGGCTGACGGTAGAAAAAATAACCTACTAATTAAAATGTCCTCAAATTTAGGACCAACATTATATCCTTATCGATACTCAACAAATGGTTCACAAGTTAAATTAACAGACATACTTCTAGTTGCGTAACATTCTATTATTGTATATAAAGTGAAAAGATCCCACTAAATCAAAATACTGTGAATTTTTATTCCACTTGGATTTCTTTTTTATCAAAACATAAACAGTTATCAATAATACCGCTTATTCCACCACAGAAACACCTTTGGAAGCACTTTCACTTTTACAAACGTGGTAAATATCATGTGCGACAAACTAAAAAATTAGTGTGGAATGCAGAACGAAAGATTAAACCCCTCTTAGGTTTTTCTGGAGATGGAGAAAAATCTGAACACATCAATGGAACATACATTGTAGGTGACGTTCTGAGAACGTAGACAATTTAGGATATTTTGATGTGATTGTGTTCTCTGAGCTGAATAGTTAATTTTCGAAGCTTTCAGTGAACACAACCACATAAAAATCATTCACCTGAGCCGCACATCTTCTCCATCATATCTGTTTAATATATGCTGAATAAAACCTCTTTTCAGTATTTAATAAAAATCATTGAACCAAAACATGACTTTTCGGGATATAAAAATTAATATTCAGTTCATAAACATGTAGTCTTTACAGTGATTTGACATAAATAATTAAACATCGAACAGGACCATAAGTGCAGCACATTTTTCAAATTCTCAGATACTTCTACTTCGATATAGTAGCGAATTACTTACCGTGTTGTCTGATTTACATTTATGTTGTGGGGGTTAATGTACGCAGTTTGAATTGGGGTAAATACTAAAGATCCCAAACCAAATCCACCAACAATTATTCCAACGACTAATCCTCTTCTATCTGGAAACCACTGAAATAATACATAAAATTGACGTGACTTTTATATTATGGACACAACTACAGTTCAAGAAAAAATGCAAACAACTAAAACATATTTCATCAAAGGTTTTAAAATTCATCGTGTCTCGCGATGGAGAAAGTTAAAATTCTGGCAGAGTTGTGCGGAAGACAAAAACCGATATACGTAATATTGGCAAAAATCAAACTTAGAAGTGCCATCTTAATATTTGTGGTAGAGAAAAATATTTTCATTCTAATATTCAAACGTCAGTTTCAGAGATTTAAGTCAACAAATAATAATCATAACACACTCCAGATAAAAAAGTGGAATGAGAATGAATGAGATTGTAGTCACAGGAGCTCGAAAGTAACAAATATTTTAGTTTATAGTCAATGACATTTTCATTAATTCTTTGGTGAATGTAGCAGGTTTTTTACGCAGGTTACCAACACTTCATTTTGCGGTTCTGTCAATAAACACCACATGACTATTCAACGTTAAGGTTAGATAACAAGGCATTTTTAAACATTGTTACTCATAAAAGTAAGTGAAACGATAGAACATTTCAAACTTACAGATACAGCGCAAGCAATCGCAACTGAGTAACCGATTCCCATTGCCAGCCCAAATATAATTCCAACTGTAAAAACTACTCCGATAAATGTTTTCTGTATGGTGACGTATGTCAGTAGAATGCTCCCACTGAAAAACAATATACAAAGTGTTATCACTTGTTTATGTTACATATTTATTTAATAATAAATTCATCTGCAATCACTTCAACCGCTCTGCATATTTCAGTGTTTGGGTCGCTGGAGCCATACATAGTAATATCGAAAATGGGGGGCATGTTACATTTCGCAGCTTTTATGAACAACAATTTATTGATGCACACCCTAAGATGAGCCTCACAGCAGTTTAAATGCAGTTTCAGAAATGTAGCTACGACTTTAGTAGTCTTTATCTTAGGACTGCAGGGGCTATAAACATTTTCGTCCACATCCTCGAAGCCAATGAAGTTCTAGAGTCTTTCATTACTTGCACATAATTGTGGTGCTTTGCTAACAACTCAGGGTGACGCTATATAACACTGCCTCACGTTACGTGAAAATACCAAAAACAATAACTGAAGGAGAAAAAGATGAAAAGGATTAATTTTGACTGAAAAGTAAGATTACAAGTTGGTTACTTATTAGTATTAGGATAATGATTTAGGTACACTGTTAGAACAACGGTATTCTTTGCTTCAGCTCAACTTAAAACAGTTCTTGAAATAAAACAAAAGCAAAATTTTATACAGAATAAGATGAGGCCGTCATTTATTTCGTTGGTTTCTATCCCTCTGTGTATAACCTAAATGTTATTTAAGTATGTGTACAGAGGAACTAATATATTTGCAAGGGTTGCATGGTCTTTGGTTAAAAAAGGCAGAAAATTAGTGAACAGTGCTCAAAAGTGACACTTCTATAATTCATGCGAAGAGCCCAAATTTTAAACAAAATATGAATTTACGAAAGTAATGGCTTGATAAATTAAAAATTAAGTTGTACAATCAAGACAAGTGGTGAGAATTTGATAATAAGTAACCAACCAGTTGCATGATAATGTGGTGAGTGAAGGTAAAGTCACGGAAACAAAAAAGAAAGACACTGAATTACGGTAAAACAAAAATGGTGGAGGGCGGAAGCAAAAGATTATGCAACTGTGTGAGGAAAACAGATTAGGCTCTGAGTTACCAGGGCAAAGAAGAATTGAAAAGTTCATCTTTAAGGAGACATAAGTCAGGTTTCAATAATGATTGCTTCGGCAAACTTAAGGAGAGTTCAGTTAAACTTACCTTGCATTATCTTGAATGATTTCCACTACATGACCCATATCAATAACACAACTGAAAACACTTGTTCCCTTGAGAAGCAAGCTTTGTGGTAAACGTTTAGAGAATATAAGACATGCCCTTCTTTCTGTTCTTCCAACGTAAATACTATTGCAGACATATGTTAATTTGTATGCACAATTATATCTAACATAGAAGAGTTATCTATCGCTCATTGATTGAATACGCTGTTCGATTAACGAGTACCAACTTGGTTGTAGGACATGTTCTGAATAAAGTAGTGTTCAATCTTCTGCTGACTATTCCTGCAATAGTATTGGCCTTGAAATCAAGTTTAATTAAAACAGATACTTTATTTACTGCTCTTTATTTTACACTTAGATTTGCAGGCCTTCTGTAGGCAATTTTGAAAGCAATAAGTGAATGAGACAGTCCACATAATTATATTACTTATTAACAATATTCACATTTAAAAGATATCATTATTAGTCAGTAGGGTTTAATAATACTAAGCACTCAATAAACGTTTGATTTGAGCAGGTTCTTGTGGATTTCCACATGATTAGGCAATCAGAACTGTCTCTAATCAGACCAAGCTAGCCAATACGGTGCGAAGATCGTTTTTGTATCCGACTAAACTTATGTGGCAAAAAAGTTCAATATTGGCTTAATTATTTAAAAAATGAGTTACCTGTGCAAACAAAATAATTTACCTGCCGGTAAGCAAAGTTAAAATCATAACTGCTGTAGGTCCGAATTTCACTGCTAGGAGGCCACCAATGGGCATACCAATACCCTGACATCCAAGGCCAAGTGCAGACAACCACACAGCTTCACGATCTGTAATACTGCTATCGACCCTCGCATATATGTATGATATAATATATGTAGCCATATTTGCTTTTGAATGGTGAATAACTTGTGAACACAGAAACTTACATATAGTGTAGAAGTGTCCCAAACTAAAATGGACCATGAACGCCCCAGCAACAACAGATAATCCACGAATCAGATCTTTACGCTTCTGGTTCTGAAAAGATATGAATAAAAAAGTAAGACCTTGCTACTCACCATCTTTACACACTGTATCTCATCAAATATTTAAGAAAACGATGTGCATCAAATAGACATAAGTTAGCGCATTAAAACTAAGATATTGTCCAATATCCAATATCGTTTTTACGAGCTAGTATAAACCAATTTGATTTCTTTGTGCTCGCCTCTTGATTGTGAGGTAGAGGTTCCTGATCTTTGGTAAACGTCTGTGTAGCTCGTCCCGCCACTCGACTGTCGTAGCTTTGGTTGACTCCAACAGGAGTAGTGCTGGGGTTAATTATATGGGGTTTGTAGTATGAAGTGTGTTAAGACTGTTACTACTGTGAATGGAGTTGATCCTTTCACCAGTTAGTCTTTCGGTATCGTCGTCAATGGAAAAGAGATAATAATAATAGATATAATTAGTAAAGGTATTCAGACTAACAGACAGAGAAAGAATAAGAAAACGTAACAACAGTCAGTCAACCGGTATACATATATATATACCAGTAATAATAATAATAGGTGTAGTTAAAGTTGTCAGGAGAGTAAGACTGAAGGGAATGTGAAGAAGTAAAACGACCAGTTTAATTGTCTACCTTTGAATGGTATATGCGATTTTAAGGGGATAGGCCATTTGGATGCAGTCCTTGTGTCGCTGCATGGTTGTCCAGCCTTCGCTTAAAGGCGTCCACAGATGGTGCCATAGCCACATCTGCCGGTAAGGAATTCCATGGACGGCAAACCCGCAGGGAAAAGAAGTGGGAGCGCACCCGGGTCCTTGCCCTCTGATGAGCTATCCTTCTAGGATTTCCACGAGGGAGCCTATACCTACTCAATGGCAGAACACCTTTGTTTGGGTGATTCTGATCATTTGTTATTTTGTAGGCAGTAATTAAATCCCCCCTCAGGCGACGGTAACTGAGTGTGAATAGGCCTAATTTCTTCAGCCTTTCGTCATATGGTTTATTTCGGAGACCAACCACTCGTTTTGTTGCCCGTCGTTGGACTCTTTCCAAGAGGTTGGCGTCTCTCATAAAAAGTGGGGGTGCAATGATATTATGCACTTCAAGATGCGGTCTGACGTATGTTTTATACAACCTTAGAAAGAGCTCAGGAGTGAGTGCACCTAATTGTCTATGGGTAAAGTGTATGACCGCATATGCCCTCGCTACATTCCCCGTGTAATTCACGCTTGTGTCCATTTTCTCCGTTAGAACTAGACCTAAGTCACGTTCCGACGTTGAGCAGGACAAGCTTTCATTGCACAGGGTGTAACTTGCATTCTGCAGTCCAATTTGACGATAGAACAATTTAAGAGAAAATTGATTATTATCAGCAAATAATTCTATAAACACACAACTTTCGCTTGTTATCACAAGCTCAATATCATTCTGAAAGTTCCACAAACTACAAAATCTGTTAAAAACATCCCAGTTAGCCTCTGAATTTATAACCCTAGAAACAATAGTTCCATAGTTTATTTTGAATTAAAATTGTCCCTTGAATCAACAATAACACTTCACCAAACAATTTATTATGAACTTTAAATTAGAAGTGAACTCATTCAGCTAGTGAACTAGCATAATTGCCATCCTACTTCTGGTCGTGTAGCCTTATGATATCTCTACATATGTACATACATATATGTCTATAATTTGGTGTTATTATTGCTAGTTTTGAACTTCTGACTCGAGGCAGTAAAAGTTCTCTACTTAACGGTCTATTTTCTCCCCTTTTTATGTCACATGACAATGGTATCGTTTTGTAGTTACAAATTATAGTTAGAACAGTAGGTTCGCAGGTCCACTAGGTGGAAAGTTCGCTGATACTAGTGATCCTCAAACAACCAGGCCGCACTAACAACCACAATAATTTGATTCCTAGAGGTTAATCATCGCAACTTTTTGAACTACTATGAGTCTCAACCTTATAGTCACGTTGCTCTTGAAAGCAGCTAGTTAGTGAATATAATTCTAACGCTTCTTCAGGAAAGTACTTGGATTAAACCTCGGTTTCTGGCAATATACCAAACTAAAGCGATGCATTTACCAGGCGCCGATTCTTCCGGATAATTAATTGCCAGCCATTACCTATTTAGATCTACGTAATTAGAGATGCACAATTTGAACGAAGAGGGTTTTTTCTACTAAATTTTATCGAATTCGTGATAGTCCATGATTCGCTACACCAACACACTGTAAAACCAGTTGAAGGGCCATTTGAACCACGTTGCACTTTACTTTTTATAGATCACTGCTAGGGATCTTGTTGCCTTGAGTTTGTAAGCCGAAAATGTGACCACTACCACTGGCTGGGATCACACCTACGCCCGAACTGTTTCATTCTCCGAACAGTGACACTGTGATAACTCCATTCTAAGTTATTCACACCACCAGTATCTGTAGTCAGACTTAACGTCCAGAAGCTTACCAACAGAGATACATCTTTGATACATGTCTCGATCTAGTCCCACCAAGTCTTAATGGATTCGATTTGGAATGCGGTGAACCCTATATAACTCACTCCTAACAACTTCTTAATTTCGAATTAGAGAGCACCCTGCCCACCTGACGGGCAGGCTTAAGAGTTAGTGAGTAGCGTGGCTAGAAATAAGTTCCAGAATAATCGATATCCGCACATCAACAGTGAGCGTTATAGTTCGCAGTCATTCAGGAAAACTAACTAACTAGTTTCTCAGACCTTTACTAGTCGGCTGTGTCTTCTCTAAGGCTTACCACTACTTCTAGTACAAATCTATAGTCAGAGTTCAGACATAGTAGACAAGAAACTGAACCAGGTTATTTGAGTGGGAAACACCTCAGAGAAGAATTTAAGATACTGGTGGCCGTGACATCAAATCTGGTTTAAACTCAGTATAATTGTAAGTCCGTGTGCCTCCCACTGTAAGTAAGATAGGAAATAGCTGAAACAAACAGAATGGTACAGGTGAAACAGGAAGATTTTTAGGAAACCAGTTGGTCACCGAGTTTGAGAGACTCAAAACTCGTTTCTGTTTGGCTTAGACTAGAAACCACGACCAAGACTATTGCGTTACCGTGTATTCCGCTACACCTGGCCTCTGGTCACAATACCTGCATACCCTTTAGACTGATCCAGCTTCATTAGTTGCCAAAGTGCCTTTAACACCAGCCTAACTCCTGAGGTGAAAATATAACATTAACAATCGTTCAAGGATTTATTTATTTACAATGGCATTAAGAGAGTGTAGAGATGCACTGTCACCACACTGAGGAAACACTCTTGTTCCTTGAAAACCCAGTAGTCTACAGTCTGATCTAATCATCACAGATAGAGAAATTGAACGCTAAGTGCAAAATGAGATTCAGTTGGACTGATGAGCTTCTTTAACAACACAGATACTCAACACCTTTCATTATGAACAAAAAATTAATTTATTAGATTTGAGGCTGACAAATAAGATACCAGTATTATTATTTCTTAAAAGATCCACAACATTATTTTTTCCTACTCTAAGCTAGGGATGTACAGGTAGTGCTGTACTTCAGTCTCCTTTAGTTACAATTAGTCTTGGTAACTAAATACTTATTGTCTGAAATAACCCTGAGCTACGGCTAAGTAACATAGGCTCAGTACTTGAGGCTTAGTCGGTCTGTCTGGTAGTCGAGAGCAACAACATCTTTTAGGCATACTTGGTGTTGAAGGTGATTTAGCTTTTTGATTGTTCTTTCACGCTTTCACTAGACAGTGCAAGTTACTTACACTATAACAGCCATTTTAATCGCCAAGACTACGAAATTTATAGAAGAACCACACTTCTCACCAGTTATTCCATACATGTGTTTATGTGTGAACGACTTCAAACTTCATCCCAAAAATCAAGATCTCAAGAGTAAAAGAGGCCGCAGCATTCATATGCATAATCACACCATGAATAGTCAGACCGAAAAATAGTAAGGATTCATGACTCGATTCATTGTGAGTCATTTCCCAGATGCTGAGTTAAGATAGGCTGTTTATATTAGGCGAAACCATGGACCTCCAGAAAAAGCAAACATATTGCAGGAAATTCTACTCACATATTATTGTACAATCTAAATTACGGTGTAGCTCTCGAGGAATTTGGCCTCCCGAAATCCACCTATTGGGTGGTACTAATCCACAGCTCTTTGAAGTATTACTTCCAGTCACTGGTACCTATGAATGAGTAAAATAGCGACTCACGCGGGGATAAATAATTTAGGACGAGGTAATGTCATCATATTACTCTTAGTTTTGCTTGTGTTTTGTCACCAATTTCAGTAATGAACATACCACCTAAACATGAATATGAAATGCAGAATATAAAATATTTTGGCTAATAATATATTTACTAGAAAACGATATAAAAGTTTATCTGATGGGATGGCTTATTTGAGTGTTTACTACTGCTATTCTCCAAGAATGATATGTGGTACCTGAACATTTGATCTCCTGTGAAGACGGCAAAACAATACAACCATGAGTGATTCTCAGGGATACTGGTCAGGAATGTATTATTATAAAGCGGATGCATTACTCCACAGAGGATGAAAAATGTCAACCAAAGGAGCATAAGTTGGATTTTAGTAATAAGGAAGCTATGATTTTTATTAAAATGATCTCAGTCATGTTTAAATAGAATACTATCTATGGATAAGTAACCAGAACTCGTGAAAAATTTATCAAGAATAACTTGACTTAGAATTATTTTTGCAAGCGTTCAAAGTGTATAAAACAGTGAAAGCTGGACTTAGACAAGATACCATCAATATTCTCTTCACTTTCAAAGTAATCAACTTATTTTATCTAAAATATGTTTTGGACAGCTTTATTTATTAATTTTTAAACGAAATATTATTTAGCTCATCTCGTCTAAACCTACCAAAAAGCTTCTGTATATCGATTATTTTTGTTTGTTGAGCTCCCTGAAATGTAACCGAGCCTTTTTAAATATTATAGGTGATACCACGGTTGAAGATGGTTACTTCAGTTAATCCTGTTTTAATTCTATTCACTCGTAGGACGAAAGAAAAAAGAACTTATATCAAGGTCTTCTTACAGTTTTGGGAAGTTTTCTGCTTCATTTAAGTTTAGGTCATTTTTATACTGTGGGTAAGTTTAATTAATCACATACCCCATTACTGTCTTTAGCAAACATGTCTACTTATATATTATCGTACACAGCCGCAAGAGTGGACAAATATATTTCCAATGACCAAGCGACTTGGTTATCAGCACTGGGTCTTGGATGTCAAGGTATAGCTATGCCGCTTGGAGGAATGCTGAGCAAGAAGTTTGGACCTCGGGCATCCATGATAGCCACGGTAATACTAGCAAGGTATGCCTCCTTGGTTCTTAAAATATTGTCATCTTGACCAAATTATGACAAATTATTACTCAAAGCCTGATTTTCGAGCCACTTGTTTTTCTATATATAAAGTGGGGCTAACAAATATATATGTCCAACAAATTACGTATCTGTAAATGTTTAAGTAAGGTGTTCACTTTTGTCAAGTTTTTGAGAACTCAGTAACTCATGATAAAAATCAGCATAAATAAAATAGAATCCTTTTCAGCTGCCTTCTATCTAAATAATTAATTGAATTTTCGGGATGAAACAGTTGTACAATTAATACGTTCTGCACCAGCCTTAACATGATGTACACATATTATCTGACCAGAAGAACTTGTTAAAATTACTAGGAAATTTATTTTGATATTTATTTTCAGTTCTGTTGTTTGTTTTTTTCTTTACATGTGTTATGTATAAATACAGAGGTACTCTAGAACTCCAATTTGACAAATAGTGACTCACTGTCAATGTATCCGATTTCACCATTTCGGCAGATGCTTACTTTTCATCCTACGTGTTTGCGTGATTCGTTTCCATAATACCATTTTAAAGATTCCTATTGTAAAATTGTTAATTATCTCGTGTTTGCTTTGTTGGAATACATGCTGCAATGTCATCATGAGAATCTTACTATCTGGAAGCTGATGCCAAAGAAATCTTCTGGGAAAGTGTTACACTTTCATTACTGTTAACCAGCTTCCGTGTTAGAATTCATGTACCATAGCAAATGTCCACCATTCTTCAAAAATAAACTAACTGCATTGAGAATGCTGGATGCCTTTAGTTTGGCTGAATGATTCACACATTGGAACTTGATTCTGGATAATTAACAACTGCTAAATATGACACAATAGTTAGGAACTGTTTTCAAGCAAGATAGGACTCAGGAAACTTAGGTGGCAAGGTTGTGCAAGTCGCATTCAGAAGTAGCACAGCAGTTTCCACATTTTGTGAACACCTTTCACCCACGACAAAATGTTGACCAAATTCCTAGACACTGAGAAAAATGTAGTCTAAATACACACAGGTAAAATGGGAAAGGGGCGAATAAGAAAACAGAAGTGTTTTTTCAGGGACTTTTATTTCAGAAAATATAAAATATAATAACTTTTGGGTTTTATTGAGTCATATTAAATCACCTTGAGATGACATGCAAATGGATAAGATCAAGGGTAATTGTAAAGTTTACTGTCCGTTAGGATTTGAATACCAGAGAATACAAGTGACACGAAAATAGACTATTGAAAGCATGCTTCAGGCAGACATAGAAGATCGAATATGGTTGAGCGTTCACAAGAAGGCAATATAATTCGTAGATTCTTGTTATTAACTTCAGTAATTCGATATAATTTTTCAGCGGAAGTGTTCTGCTAACATATTTCACTGTCCAGAGCGCATTTATTGGCGTAGTTATTACGATTGGGGTAATATTTGGGTTTGGAATGGGGATCGGTTACTCAGTTGCGATAGCCTGCGCCGCCTCAGTAAGTTGAGAGGTTTCGTGTTTTTATGGTCAAATGATATGTTTTACTGTTTGTGTTTTCTGCTCTCTTAGGCATAAGAAATAAATTTTCAATCTGTGAATACTGTTGGGCTGAGTGTACGGAAAAGCTGATTGAATTAATGATGGCTTATTATTTCATGTTGATTTGTTGGTAAATTTTTGGCTGAATATAATATAATGACTCCAGTCGTGTGAGCAGAAAAATCGAAGACTAGGTGCCGACGGCAGCTATGAATGTTACACCTCTTATTTTAAAAACAAATGCATGACACCTCGTTTTCTAAATTCATTTACATACTTTACATTTCTCATCTGCTTTCTTTAAAAGTAATCCGAATAATATCCTTAATCCAAATGATTCTGGTTACTGTAAAACCTGAAATTTCATTTCACATCACTAAAGTTTTATTTCTTGATGATTCTGATTTCATCCTTTTATTCGATAAAGTTTTTCTTTTCCTTTAGTTCTGCGTTTCTGGCATACCTTTTGCTTTCTTTCTCCCTGCTATTTCATGATTATTTCTATGATGTTACTAGTTACTTGCATGCCAAACTGTGCATACGGTGCCGGTAGAATAACTGCAATATAATCTGTTCTGTGTCGTTGCATTCAATTGTTTGAACGACGATCCACAAGCTCTCATTTCCCTTCACATGATCTCTCCCATCTAACTCGGGAACTCCCAACTCCTCACCGCATATTCGGCTTCCACTCGAGGATTTAAGTGGCTTGTAATATCACTTGAGGATGTCCTTAGGGCATTTACAATCTATCTTGGCTTCCTAATGAATATTTTTCGGGAATTACTCTCTCAGCTAATTTGATATTAGAGTCCCTCGGTGCTTATTGTTTTTGAAAATCAGATCACAAGTAACAACAATTTATTGGCGCCAGAATTTGCATGGGAAAGTTAAGAGTAGAATTAATTAAACCATAGAGTAGCGAGAGCCAAAAGGGTACGTCAAAAATCCTTTAATTCTCCTTATGATGAGAAAAGTCCGGAAAATAAACAAAATTTTGCTGGGGTAAGACAGATTGCACGCTTTTCTCTTATACACATGTGTTTTGGTGGTCCAAGTGCCCCCTGGTATGTGTAATTGTGATTTTACAACTAAACATTCACTTTTATGGTTACTTACCCTTTTGTGCCAACTTATTATTGGTTGAGTTATGGATGGACAAGTTAAATTCGCCGAGCGTTCTCTTCTTGCTATTCTTTAGGCCTTGCACCAGCGTATCTGCAATATTGTTACTATGAAACTGTTTGTAATAGGCGGTAACGCAACAATTTAAAACTAATGAGATGAACATAGTTGCAAGTTGATATTTTTCCATGAGCTCTTCATTTCTAGATTTCTTGAGACCTTTAGTAGCATTCTTCCAAGTAATTATTCTTCTTTGATTCCAAATCTGACAAAATGCTTTGAACATATCTTTAATTGAGGGTGCGAAGTCCTTAAAAACTAGAGATCATATAGTTTTCTTCTATATCCAACAAATGGTTCTACTATGCCAAACATATTGTTAAGTGGTGAGTAGATTAACGTAATCAATTTCGAGATGAAAATAATACATCGGATGCTGGTGTTAGCTTTTAATAAGCCAAACTTCATCAGAATCTTCAGCTAACTGAATGAGCAACAACAAATGTGAGGAATATCCCACATCAAGATAAAGAAGCTGTTAAGTCACCACTTATGGTCTTTGATTTGATGGTTTCGTCTTTCGGGTGGGCAAGACTACAGTTAGAGGTATTGGATACTGAACTGCAAAGCAATGATATCATTCTTTGGTAGCAGGAAGAAACTATCATCTATTCCTCACTTTTCGTCATTCCTCTCTATGAATTTTATCTAGTTTTATTTACGGTGTCCTATCTTTTTCCATGACCTATTGATTTCAACGGAGTTGAATTCAGTTTCCTTGACTTAGTCTCTCTTATATATTACGTGGACTCTCGTGGATCCTCATTTGCTTCGTTTGCTTTTCTCATTCCTGTAAAAATTTCATGGCATTTTGTTTTATTTATGCGTGCTTGTGACATTTTGTAATAATTAATTCTCTAACTCAGATCCTGTCACACTCAGACCCCTCAGTGGAAATTATGGGGTGTACCTTAATCCACAGCTCTTGCAAATTTCGCTTCTGTGTCAGTATCGTAGGCCGGACACAGGACTTTGAAGTTATGGAGTGATTATATTGTCAGTCGACCTGTGTGCAGTGATTAAACAGCCCAATAATTTTAACTTCCATCTGGTTACTGTGGTAATTTAATGTCATCAGTGATCTATTGCGCGTGACGTGACTTGGTGGATCTTAGCGATCACGATAACCCATCACAGCCTTTGTAGTCAGTGAGTCATGAGCAGTGAACTAATATTAACAGATTAGATTAGTTATGATTTTAACTAACTTCAGTTTTTATTGTCCCTAAAACGGTATCTATAAGACAAAATCAATTTCCATCGATGGCCGCTTAATCCATGACATAAATTAATTCAAGAAAGTATGAAGTTAAAAAGTTTATATTTTTTAAGTGTTGAAATGGCCAATATAATTTTAAACAACTGAAAGTTGTATGGAGATATGAAATAAAGTACATATACTGCCATTGTTAAATAAGTATCTCATATTCAAGTGATGTCTAAGTTCTCCTCTGTAGTATACTAAAGTAATCTTCATCCTCTATCTATTTTAGTGGTTTCCACAAAGGAGAGGACTAGTCGTCGGATTGATTGTTGGTGGGTTTGGTTTAGGGTCTCTAGTATTTACACCTATCCAAACCAAATATATCAACCCATCAAACATAAAAGTTGATGAAATATCAAGGTAAATAGATTACTATAATTTTAATTTTTTTCATGTTAACATAATGTCTGTCAATACTGGAATTTTTATTCTACCTTCTTTTTAACACTTTAGACGGCTAACCATCACCGGCTACAGCTAAAATAAAAGTAGTAGACCTAATTTCGTGGAAACAGATTCACCCATAATCACTTGATAGGTGTTGAAGGGTTTACATTTGGTGAGGAAAAATGTTGCAATATTGTATTAGGGCAGGCACTATCACAACAAAAGCGAATTTTATGATTTTGTAGACTGTGTTTTATACACCTCCCTACAGTAATGTTTACCACATGATTTATCTTCACCAACTGTGTCTTTAAAAGGTTCACATTGGGAGCAATCAGTAAATGCTATTATTTGGTAATTCCTTTAGCTTGTTGATAATAATAATACTTGCCACAGTTTTAAGGTATATCCATATGTACTTTTATAATAAAAGTAGTAGCATTATAATCAGTAGCATGCAGTGTGGCACTTTTGTGGACCAAAGCAAAATTCTAAACCTATTTCTAAATTCATGAAAAATTCCCATTCGAACATTAATAGACAGAAGACAAGTAGTTCAACGAAGAGTCTCTTTTTGGCGAATTCATTTTCATAGCTGTACAATCGCAAATATATATGGTTCTTTTGTATGTATGTGTACATTAAATTTGTCAAACGAAAATGCAATTAGTGAGTTCAGATGAATTGGATGTTGATATAAGGGAGTAGTAACAAAAGTGATGAGTTGTCACAAACGATTGTTAAAGAAGAGCTACATAATAACATGAATAGTTTGATGAATGAGTTGTACTCAGGGTGTATATGAAAACAAAATATAAGGAATTACACAAGGGTTTTAAGTAGAAAAATTAGGATACAAACAAAAGTTAAGTCAAATCAACACCATTGGAGTAGAAGCGGTTAAATAATTTTCTTTTGTATGCACAGTTCTGGTTCCTCTATCTTTATGGCTAGGGCTTCTGCGATGCAAAGAAGACGGAATCGCACTGTCTTTGGAAGGTTGTCCTTCACATTGTAGGTTGCTTTGAAGGAGGCGTTTGTTGAGATTGAATGACCAGTGTTGACGAGGTGTTCTATTATTGCACTACTTATGCAGCCATTACTTCCTTTCTGCAGCCACGCTGGATAGTGTTCTTTGACCCTTTTTGACAGGATACGCTTTGAACGACCAATATACCTGGCTCCACAGTAACAGGTGAACTGATATATAGACATAGAAGTGGTCAGGTGCGGGATCTTGTATTTTGGGCTTCTGCAGATAAGCAGGCGACTAGAGAACACTGCTCTCAATGTTGCCGCGAAGAAAGTTCTTCTTAAAGAAGTGGAAATCCTCCTTTTAAGGACGTCACTGAGTAGGTCTCCTTTGAAGTCGAGGTTCATATAAAGTAGTTTTTGGCACAGATGTTGTTTCTTGCTTTTGGAATTTTTTTGTTTGATGTTTTTGTCTACGAATCTTGAAGGTTTCTTTCAGGAAGTTTAGTTCTTCCTCCATGGTATCCAAGCTGCAGATGCGTCGGACGCGAGTGGCAGGAGATCTAATTAAGTTTCTTTTCCGACTGATTGGTACCCAGATGTAGAATCTTGTCAGTTGGCCGTTCCATGTGGGTTTCCTATTGATGGACCTTCTTAAAGTTCCATCAGCTCTCCTCGCAAGTTCAACATCAAGAAAAGGGATTTTAGATTCGTTTTCAATTTCAAGAGTGAACTTTGTGGCTGAATGGCATTTCTTGAATATTTGCAATAACTGATTGAGATCGTGGCCGTCATCACAGATAATAAAGATGTCGTCCACATATCTTACATACAGTTGGAAATTGTCAATAGTTGATTTGAGTGGGCCGTTCTCGAGGCTTGCCATGGAGCAGTCTGCCAGTAATGGGCTCAGTGGAGATCCCATTGAGATCCCATCTTGTTGTCTGTAAATAACCTCGTCCAAATTGCATTTTCGTTCGACAAATTTAATGTACACACACATACAAAAGAACCGTATATATTTGCGATTGTACAGCTATGAAAATGAATTCGCCAAAAAGAGACTCTTCGTTGAACTACTTGTCTTCCGTCTATTTCTAAATTGTAATACAGAGTGTTGAGTCAGCGAACTGTGGGCATTTTCAGAATAATTTATAAAAAAATTACTCTATACACATGAACAGGAGGTCACCTAATTGCTAAAATAACTGTCCCATAGTTTAAATCGTGAACTGTTCGGTGAATATGTAGAAGACTGATGTTTGAGATACCTAATTGTTGATTAAATGTTTTTGTTGTTTTAATTCTAAGTTTAAAACCTCAGCAAATTCACACATATAAAGTAACATCTAGTTTTTTGATTGCCTTATTTCGATTCAAAGATGATTTCCTTGCAGACCAGTATTAACTAGAACAAAACTCGGGAAGGCTGTACAGCTGTTTTGTCTTAGTTTAATTCTCTTTATCAGTGCGACCTCAGGTGGTAAGCTGTCAAAATGATAACCTATAGTTCTTCATCTTGAACAGGAAATAATAAAAATAAAGAAAATATATTTTTTGAAAGTCATGTGCTTGCATTGTAATCTGGTACTTTTGTAATCTGTGTCTTATGAGGTCATGAGAGTATACTGCTAACTAACTAAGAGCTAAGCTACCAAGTATCGCTAAGTTCCTTATTGAGTTTAATATTTCAACAAATTCCCGTAAACTCAACAGCTCTGTACCTTTTCACATTCCTGTGTGGTTAAAAATGAAACATACAAAATAACTGATCAAAGAATATCCTTTTCGATAAGTTCCTCTTTTGGCTCTACAATTATATATATGTTTATATACATAAAATATTCTAGATTAGTAGTCAGTATCAATATTAGTGTTTTTTTCAATAATATCGATTTGTAAAGTAAGATCAATGCAATTACAGTTCAATAAAGATGCTTAAATTATAATAATAATAATAAAGATATAATAGCAAATAGAATATCAACTAAAATTGGGAAAATTCCACAGAAATTGAGGATCATTCAAAACTAGATGGCCAGGGTAAGGATAATGTCTGAACTAGATTCTTTTGGAAGCACAAATTAGGCTTCTTAGTGTGGATCGCAACAGCTTCAGCAATATTTAGCAATCGAACTCTTAAGGCGAAATTAAGATTTGTTGGTATGTGGTAAATGACTCTGAAAGCCTGGTTAACATTCATATTGTGTTCTGTATCCACAAGATGAGATAGAATAGCGCTACGAATATATTTTTTGTCCTTTACTTAACCAATTTGCAGGGTGATGTTCAGAAATCCGACGAAAAAGACGCCTAGTTGTACTGCCTATGTAACTGGCTCCACAGGAGCAGTTAAATTGTATATAAAAATATATATAATTGTAGATCTAGAAAAGGAAATTATCAAAAAAGGTATTCTTCGCTCAATTATTCTGTGTTTTATAGATGTCTGAATGAATATTTTTGCTATATAAATTTCTGTTTTCACTTATATCAGCTCAGAGAACTGTTTTTACCCTATTTAATCTGATCAAGAGTAGTTTTCAAGTTATCACATAGGTTCCACTTTATTCTTTATCCTAAGTAATTGATGTCCTTTTTGTGAACAAAATGTGACTAACAGACGTTTACGATAATTTGTTTTCATTCACAAATATTAGATCACTGCTGCTGGAATTTTAAATTAGAAACCTTGTAGATCCTTTTAAAAAATTACTCCAGTTACGTATGCGATATCTCTCTTGGACTGCTTATAAGTACTGTGCCATTAGTCTGAGTTTATAAAGATCTCATGATCACCATGTATATATATATATAATGCTGCTGGGAATACCCAGAGAATATCTGTCTCCAAGCTTTCTAACCAGTTCATCCTCAAATCAGTCCATCCTAAAAAGTTTGAAATTCTTGTATTATCTGGAAACACATGAGGTTTCCGATTTACTTAAGTCTTCATACACTTTAGGGAACACTCTCCTATTTAGTATGTTTGCCACTTTACCGGCCAAGTTGTACAATAATGAGGTTTCTTCACTAATGATGGAAACTTTTGTAGTAGAGCGGAAAATTCATAGACATTTTTGATTTTTACGGTCAATATTCCTCATTTAATTTAAGCAGGATTGATCATGAATATATGAAGTACCACAGCAAAATTTAAACTCATGATATAGTTAAAAACAATATGATAATTTCGATATCTTCATCAGAATAATTTTCTATGCATGTTACACTTTTATGCTCCTTGAGATCTGTTAGGTTTTTTGCTAATCCTTAATTAGTCATAATCGGGAGAGTTAGCTTAAGTCAAAGAAACTTAAAGCCATCTTAAATGCACACTTCAATGATTCCTATTTTGACAGTTTCAGATGTAACCAGTTTGTCTGGCATTCAATAACAAATAGTGTAATTTTGTTGGCGTCTTTATGAAGTTTAGCCGAATATTTTTTTAATATTTACCATTTAGTTCAGATTAAAAGATGCGGAAGTGAGGCACTTGTTTAAAGTCTTCATAACTCAATAATAGTGATTTTAGTAAATTTTGCATCAAAACATTGCAATATTGCATTTGTGAGGTACTGCAATGCATTTCCTCCTCTTTTATTTAACACTGTTTTAGCATGATGCTAGGTGATATTAAAAAGCCTCACTGTGTAGCTTAAATTTGTAAATAATCTATTTGAGACGAGCAGAGACATTTTAAAGATTGGTTAAATGTTATAAATTCGTATTGCCGCGTTGATGGGTGAATACGGTGATGCTGTAGATGCTGCTAAATATTTTGTGTTACTTGAACTCTAAGTTGTACAGTTATATGTTGTTCTGCAAGGTAATTTAAATGCCTATACGGGTCTGGCGGTTGGTAACAAAACTTATGGTATTACATAACAGGAGAAATAATGAATAAGGTACGAAACTTAGGTGATCTTTCACAACCTAAAATCATTAATTGGTAAATATACCTCCGAAATGATTATCATTAGAAGTGTATGCACATAGAAACTG